TTGTCCCGAGCTGCAGGACGTCGTGGTAGGGCAGCCTGTTTCTCTGAGACGGCTCTGGTCTTGCCCACCTGCACGCGCCGCTGAGTAGTATAATATCCCAAGCTCGCAACTCGCAGCTGATGTCTTCTAGTCGTTCCAAACTGCTGGCTTCCATTGTATTGTAATGGCATGTCCGCATGGTGACGTAAAGAAAGAAGACGATAATCATGGAGGTCCCCCAGGTCCCTTTGTCTCTAGGGCCTGCTGGTCGGGAGCGCGAAACGCTGGTGTACAGTTGTACAAGAGGTACGGTCGGTCCATGTCCTCCCCTCGATCCAGCGGCCTAGGAGGAGGAGAAGGAGGAGGAGGAGGAGGAGGAGGAGGAGGCAGGGCGGCGACGACAGGGGCGAAAGCTACCTGGCGGACGAGGCGGTCCGCGAGACATTCCGAGATGAGTACTCCAGAGCGGCCGCGCTTCCGGGGAGCCCCCAGCTGGCGCCGCTCCTGGGAGAAACTGGGGACAAGCTGCAGGCGCTGCTCCAGCCGCGGCCAGCGGCGGCGCAAGCGCCAGCCGCGCGGGACCCGGCGCCGCCGCCGCTGAGCCACCAGGCGCTCAAGCGGGCGTTCCGCTCAAGCCCCAGCGGCAGCGGGGCGGCGGCCGGCGGGGAGCGCTACGAGCACTGGCGAGCGGCTCTCGCGGACCCGGGCGCGCCTTGGAAGCGCTCCGCGGCGTTTGCGACCGCACCGCGCAGGGCCGCGCTCCCACAGGCGCAGCAGCGGCGCTGGCGCTCTCCGGCCTCGCGCCGCTCAGGAAGCCCGCGGGGGGCCTGCGGCCCACCGCGGCGCCGAATGTCCTCCGGCGGCCGGTGGGGCGCGCGCTGCTGCAGCCGCGGAAGGCGGAGCTTGCCGCGAGCCTGGGCAGACACCAGCTTGCCATGGGCACGGCGGCCAGCACGGAGCTCATGGCACACGCGGCGCGCGCGCTCGCCGAGTCCCGCCTGGACCTCGTGATCTTGGCGCCGGACGCGGAAAGCGCCTACGGCTCCGTGGACCGCGCCGCTTGCCTGCTAGGCCGGAAGTCGCGGCGCCAGAGCTCCTCCCCTTGGCAAACCTCTTCTGCCGGCGCACCTCCCAGTATCTCTATTGGGACGGCCGCGGCCGCTGCCGGCGCCTCACAGCCACGAGCGGGGTGGACCAGGGCCCCGGGGGCCCCGTGGCGCCGCTCCTTTACGCCTGCGGCGCAAAGCCGGAGCTCCGCCGGCTGGAGGAGGAGCTACGGGCGGCGGCAGAGCACGCCGGGCTGCTGGCCGAAGACGTGTGCGCCCTCGCCTACCTGGACGTCACCGCCGTGGCGGCCCCAGCCGCGCTGGCGGCCCGAGTGCTGCCTGCCGCCGAGCGTGTCCTGGGGGCCCTCGGCTTGGAGCTGCAGCGCGTCAAAACGCAGGCTTGGTCTGCGGGCGCGGCCTGCCCCCCGGGCATGGAAACCTACTGGCGCCCGCAGGGCCTCACGCTGGCGGGCGCGCCGCTGGCTGCACTGCCGCTGGGCGCGGGGGGCGAGCGCTGGGTAGCCTTGGGGGCGACGGGCTACGCCGCGGACCACAGCGCCGGCGCGGCGCGGCGCGCGACCGCCCTCGTCGAGAAGCTGGCGGACTTGCCCGAGGAGGCCTCGCAGCACCTGCCGGAGAGACAAACGGCGGCGCTGCTCTTGCGCCACCGCGGCGCCGGCGAGCTCACGCACTTGCTCGGGGCCACGCCGCCGACGAGCGCAAGGGCAGCCGCGGCCAGCTACGACGAGGCGCTCCTCGAGGCTTACTGGCGCCTGCGCCGGCTAGACCCGCTGACGAAGACACAGCGGGCGCAGTGCCAACTGCCGCTGCGCCTCGGCGGCCGGGGCCTCCATAGCCAGGAGCAGCTGGCCCCGGCGGCTGGGCCCGCACCGGCTTGGCGGCGCTCGACGACCTGGAGCATGCCGAGCAGCCCCTGGCCGCAGTCTGCCGGCCGCCCGCCTCCTGCTGCAGCCGCCGCAGCACCCCGGCGCCGCCCCGACTTGCGGCGGGCTGGAGGAGGAGGGAAGGAGGAGGAGATGGAGGAGGAGGAGGAGGAGGAGGAGGAGGAGGAGGAGGAGGAGGAGGAGGAGGAGGAGGAGGAGGAGGAGGAGGAGGAGGAGGAGGCCGACGCCCTCCCCGCCTGGGCCACGCTCGCCCGCGAACCCCGCACCAAAAAGCAGAAAGCGCTCACGCGAAAGCTTGGCCAGAACAACTTTTCGGCCTTTCGGAGCGCTTGTACGAGCGAGGAGAAGGCGAGGCTGGGCTCCTGCGGCGGGCCGCACGCGGGTGCTCGGCAGCAGCCCGCGCCGGGGTCTGCGGGGCGGCGACTGAGCGACGAGGAGCTCTTCCTGACAGCGCGCACGCTTTTAGGCCAGGACCTGGCTCCGCCTGACACTCTCTGCGCTAACCGCGCCCGCACGGGCCCGCGCACAGGCTGGACCTGTGGCGAGCGACCCCGCGGCAAAGCGCACCGCGTTTTTCGACGTTCCTGCGCCGTCGGCGTCTGCAGCAGGGGCGTCGAGGACGTGCGGCAGCGCATTCACAACGAACGTACCACACGGCCCGGCAGGTCCCCGTCCCCAGCTGGGGCCGGTGGGCGCGGCGTTGCACGCGGCGGGCTTGGCCGCGGCCGCCGGCCGCGACCGCGCAGTGGCTGCCACAGCGGAGGCGGGCAAGAGTCAGCGGCACCCCGAGGGCCGTTGCCTTTGGCGCTTCCTTTGGCCCCCGAGACAGGAGGGCGCCACAGCAGGGTCGCCGCGCGCCACCTCCGGCAGCTGGCGCGCGACCAAGCGCAGTTTGTCGACGAGGGCAGGGCCGGGGCGGCGGCGCTCTCTGCCAGCGCTGGGCGCAGAGTTGTCCGTGGCCTCGCACAGCGCAACGGCCTGGCAGCTCTGGGGCAGCGCAGGCAGCCGCGAGGACGCGGCGGCTCCGCGCAAGGCAGGGGCCGCTTGATCCCGCGATGTATGATAATTCGTGTGGGGCCCACGGACTGACTCGTGTCTCCCCCTGCTGCCGCCTGCTGGCCTGCCTCTGTCCCTTTTTTTTTTGCTGCCGTCGCCGAGCGCGTTCCACTACTCGCAAAGCGCCTACTCGCAAACGTCCGGAACAAAAAACATACGCCTGCCTTTGTGTAGTGTGTCGTACAATCCCTGAGGCGGACCCAGGCTATTTGCGAGTAGCTACTTTGCGAGTGGTGGAACGCGCTTGTCTATGCCAGGAGAAGGAGGAGGAGGAAGAGGAGGAGGAGGAGGAGGAGGAGGAGGAGGAGGAGGAGGAGGAGGAGGAGGAGGGGCGGCTGGGCTGCGGGCGCGCGCGGGCAAGGCCGGGGCTGCCGCTGCGAGCTGGAGGAGGCTCGCGGACCGGCAGGGCAGCGGGCGAGCGGCGGAGGGGCGCGACGCGCTGAACTGGGGGCTCACCTGACGGCTGGCTGCAGGCGCGCGGGCTGCCGCTGGAGGCCGCTGCCCACAGCCATCTCGGGGTCGGCTGCTCCCCAGGGCCGTCGACGGGCGGACCCCTGGCTTGCCAGGGGCGTGGGCTCGTCCCCCCTGGGGAGAAAAGGGTACGGGCCCCCCGACGGGGGGGCAACCCCCGTACCTGGCGCCGATGTCGGGGTGGTGTCGTGCGGCGGCGGCCTCCCCTGGCGGCGGGGCTGCACTGGCGGCGCCTGGCGGTGGGACCGCACCGGAGACGCCTGGCGGTGGGGCCGCGCCGGAGGCGGCGGCGGCGGCTGCTGGGGGCTGGCGGAGGCGGGCGCCTGGCCTTCTCGTTCGGCGTCAGGGGGGGCGCGCGGGTGGTGCGGACGCGCGGTCCGCAGCTGGAGGAGGAGGAGGAGGAGGACGAGGAAGAGGAGGAGGAGGAGGAGGAGGAGGAGGAGGAGGAGGAGGAGAGGAGGAGGAGGAGGAGGAGGAGGAGGAGGAGGAAGAGGAGGAGGAGGAGGAGGAGGAGGAGGAGGAGGAGGAGGAAGGAGGAGGAGGAGAGGGAGGAGGAGGAGGGAGGAGGAGGAGGAGGAGGAGGAGGAGGAGGAGGAGGAGGAGGAGGAGGAGGAGGAGGGAGGAGGAGGAGGAGGAGGAGGAGGAGGAGGAGGAGGAGGAGGAAGAAGAAGAATAAGAATAATAATAATAAGAAGAATAATAAGAAGAAGAAGGAGAAGAAGAAGAATAATAAGAATAATAATAATAAGAAGGATGAGGAGGATGAGGAGGAGGAGGATGATAATACTAATACGAATAGTAATACTAGTAAGAATAATAATAAGAAGAAAAAACGACGAAGAAGAATACTAAGACGAATAATACGAACCATACTAATAATAAGAATACGAAGATTAATAACAATGAGGAGAAACATAATAATCATAATAAACAGAAGACTACTAAGAATAATAATCAGGAAAATAAGACGAAGAAGAAGAGGAATACTAATAATAAGACGAATAAGAAGAATAATATTGATAAGAAGAAGAATATTTTTGAGAAGAAGAATAATCATAATAATAATAATACGACTGATAAGAATACAAAGAATAAGAATAATAAGAAGAACACGAATAATAAGAATAATAATCGTACACATAAGAAGAATAATAAAACGAATAATAAGAATAAAAATCATACTAACAAGAATAAAACCAATACGAATAAGAAGAATAATACGAATAAGAAGAAGAAGAAGAATAATAAGAATAATAATAAGAAGAATAAGAATAATAAGAAGAAGAAGACGACTAAGCAGAAGAAGAATAAGAAGAAGAATAAGAAGAATAAGAATAATAAGAATAATAAGAATAATAATAATAAGAAGAATAACAAGAATAATAATAAGAATAATAAGCATAATAATACTAAGGAGAAGAAGAGGATGAGGATGAGGAGGAGGAGGAGGAGGGGGAGGAGGAGGAAAGGGAGAAACGGGGAGGGGGATGAGGAGGTCTGGTTGACGCGCGGGGGGAGGAAGGCTCCCGCCTTTCCCCTGGAGGAGCTGGGCGCGTTCAAGGCATGGGCGGGGGCGCCGCCGCCGGATGGCTGGGAACTCGAGACCGACGAGGCCGCGCCCGTGCCCCCGCCAGCTTGCTGCAGAGGAGGAGGAGGAGGAGGAGGAGGAGGAGGAGGAAAACGAGGAGGTAAAGGAGGAGGAGGAGGAGGAGGAGGAGGAGGAGGAGGAGGAGGAGAACGAGGAGGAGGAGGAGGAGGAGGAGGAGGAGGAAAACGAGGAGGTAAAGGAGGAGGAGGAGGTGGACGTTGAGGAGGAGGACCAACGTAGACCCAACGCGCATCAGAGATGCTGCAATAAATCTTCCGTCCAGGCTCCCTGTTTATATAGGTCCCTGACCGACCGGGACCGACCGCGCGGCCCAGACGACGGGCGGCGCCGAGGCGGCGACGAGGCGACGACGGCGGGAACATAGCTCCGAGACCGGCCACGCGGCCCAGACGACGGACGGCGACGAAACGGCGAAGGGGCGGCCACGGCAGCGGCATAGCTGCCAGAATGACCACGCGGCCCAGTTCCTTAGATGACAAGTAAGAATTTCGAAGTGCAAACAAAGTTCTGGGGAATATTAATTAATCCGTGCTTGCACTAAAGGGTTCTTGCTTGCCTTCTCTTGGGCAGGACTTGTTTGTCTGCCTCTCTGGCGGCTATGCCGCCGCTGTCGCCGCCCCTTCGCCGCCCGTCGTCTGGGCCTGTCTGCTGGTGTGGCGGGCACGTCGCCGCCGTCGCTGCTTTGTCGCCGCCTAGACTGCACGACGCAGATTGCACAACGTAGACTGCAAAACGTACATTCTCCTTTCTAGAAAGAAAGTAAAATCTACCCCCCCCGGCGTTATCGCCACCTCTTTCGGGTATGTAAATCATATACGATGCTGACCACATGTCCATCCGAAATAGGAAATCGCAATGTCCCAGGCCAGCCAGTATCCCCCCCCTGAGATTTCCTTGCTCGAAAACAGTATGCGGTGACTTTTTTTGTTTTAGTAGGGCGACGATATCTATGCATATCCACTGTTCCCAGCCAGGCCAATCCTGGGCCCAAGAGCTGTGTATACGCCCTCCTGGCTTGGCCAGGGAGGCATATACACCGCTCCTGGGCCCAGGATGGGCCTGGCCAGGAGCAGTGGATATGCATAGATCTCGTCGCCCTATTTAGCAAAGCACTTTTTTCACGAATCCCTTGCAACAAATGGGACGAAGTGCGCACGCGCGCGTCGTCGCGCGCGCATGCCGAAACCTTCAAAAACCTTCGGTGCCGGAAGGATTTCGCAATCGAGTTTCCAAAAACAGACAGAAACACAGGGTTGCGCAACACGGATAATGCTAAACAAGCTTCCGCGCGAGTTCTTGCGAAATCTTAAGAAAACCATCGGTTTTTCAAGATTTTCACAACATGCTATTTAACGGGCTTCGCGCGCGCGCATGTCGAAATCAGTCGAACGCCCTTGCGCGTGTGCCGTCGCGAGAATCCTCTGCAAAAAGACGGGACGAAGTGCAGACGCGCGCGTCGTCGCGCGCGTATGCCGAAATCCTTCAACACCCATCGGTTTCGGAAGGATTTCAAAATCGTGTGTCCAAAAAACCTACAAACCCAAGGTTTCGCAACAAAAATTTTCAACAAAAGCGTGCGCACGCGCACTTGCGTCGTCGGCGTCTTCCTTGCTCCCTCGTCGTTGGCGTCGCCGTCCTTCCTCCTTCTTCGTCGTTCGCGTCGTCGCCGTCCTCCCTCCTCCCTCGTCGTTGTCGTCGTTGTCGTCGTTGTCGCCGTCGCCGTCCTCCCTCCTCCCTCGTCGTCGTCTTCGTTGGCGACGTCGTTGTCGTCGTCGTCGTCGTCGTCGTTGTCTTCGCCGTCGTCGTCGGCGTCGTCGTCGTCGGCGTCGTCGTCGTTGTCATGTCGTCGTCGGCGTCGTCGTCGTCGTCGGTGTCGTCGTCGTCGTGGTCGCTGTCGTCGTCGAAGTCGTTGGAGACGTCGTCGGTGTCGTCGTCGTCGTCGGTGTCGGCAGCGCCGTCGTCGTCGTTGTCGCTGTCGTCGTCGGCGTCGGTGTCGTGGCCAAGTGCCATCTGGTACCTACCATCACGGTCTTGTCTTAAGAGGTCTTGCGACCAAGTTGCGGGTGGGAGGGTGGGATGTTTGCACGAGCAGTGGAGAGGACAGCTTCAAGACGGTCAAGGTGAGCTGCACCACCTAGATTGCACCGCATGGGCTGTACACCACATCGATTGATTGCACCACGTACATTGCACCACACAGGTTACAATACATAAATGAGATACCCCATATCGCAGTACATCGTTTGCACCACATAGGTTACCACATATATTGCACCACGCAGACGGCACAACCTATGTTGCTCCACGTGTGCTTCGTTATTAAAAGAGTACGACGATCTACCTTCCTTCCCGGACTGAACCGCCTCTCGTGTCTATTGATATGTGCATCTGGTTCTGCCCTATCGTCCATTCTAAGTATGAACTGGTATCATCCCAGCCTTACGCTCATCGCCCCCAAATCCTCTGCAACAAATATTATGCGCACGCACTCGTTCTTCACAGATCAGCAGTTTCAATCCTTTGCAAAAATGGGACGGGGTGCATTCGCGCGCGTCGTAGCGCGCGCATGCCGAAATCTTTCAAACACGTTAGGTTTCGTATTTATTTCAAGATCGAGTGCCCCGAAAACATACAAAACACATCGTTGTCCAGCATACATGTCCAACCACAGCTTGTATGCGGGTTTTTGCGAATTCTGGATGCAACCATCGATTTTCCAGCAGCTTCATACACTGCTATCCAACGGGCCTCCCGCGCGTGTGTGCCCAAATCTCTCAAACACCTTCGGTCTCGTAAGGGTGTCAAGGTCGAGTGTTCCCACAACCATAAGAAAAAAAAGATGGGTTTGCAACGCCAGTTCAGCTTCAGCATAATGCATGTGGTCGCGCTCTTGCGAATTCTTGAAAACACCTTTTTGCTTTGTTATAAAACACCTGTTCGCTAAATTCTGTCAAGCAGGCCTTTCGCGCCGCATGACGACATCATTCGAACGCCCTTGCGCCCCTGCTGGGGGGGGGGCACCACTTGTGCCAAATAATATCATGCGGGCCACTCTTGCGCGTCGGCCGCGCGCGCATGTCGAACTCGTTTCCAACGTTCGTCACCGACGCGGACGCGGGGGCGCCGTCATCGTCGTCGGCGTGATCAGCATCGGCGTCGTCAGTGGCCATGCCGTCGTCGCTGTCATCATTGTCGCCAGCATTGCTACGTCGCCATGATATCGCGCCCGCCCACGTCGCCGACTCGCACTGACGTGCCCGCTGGGAGTTGCCCAGCGGTCGGCGCCACCGCGGCCACGCCAGTCGCGCCAAACTAGCACGCCGCTGCGCGCGCGAGCGTGCGCGGGCTAGCGCGGCCGCGGAGGTGCACCAACATCAAGCACTCATCGCAATCGCCACCGCATGGGTTTTGCAAACCATGTTGCCCGTGTGCGGGTGGGATGACTGCGCGAGCAGAGGAGTCGACAACGCTCTGCGAACAGAACGCAATTACACAACATATATATATATGTATATGTATAACATATCACGTAGTTTGCACCACATGTATTGCACCACGTAGTTTGCACAACACATATCGCACAGCATAGAGTGCACACCATATATTGCACAACGTGTGTGTGTATATATATGTATATATATACACGCTGCACAACGTAGATCGCGCCATACAGGACCTTCTTTCTAGAAAGAAGGCATTCTAAACGCTTCGCGTATCCCCACCCGCCCATCCAGAAACAATGTCCGGGCGAGTTGAATTGATCAGGGAAGTGCGGCAGCAAAGGGGGGGACGGCCGAACCTTGCAAAGGAATGAGGAGGAGAAGGAGGGGGTGGATGGATGGATGGATGAGGGAGTGGGAAGAAGGATGATGAATAGGATGAGGAGGAGGAGGCGGAGGAGGAGGAGGAGGAGGAGGATGAAGAGACGGAGTAGGAGGAGGAAGGAGGAACAGGAGGAGGAGGGCAAGCACAAGGACCAGAGGTCTCTTGGATGCCTCTCGGAGCCTCTTGGGGTATCTCTTGGGCGATTATTGGTGGCCTCTTGGGACGTCTTGGGGGTCTCTTGGCGATCCTGGGGGGCTCTTCGGGGTCTTGGGTGCCTCGGGGGGGGGCCTCTTGAGGCAGCTTGGGGTCTTCTTGGGGGCATCCTGGGGGCCTCTTGGGCGCCTCTTGGGGCAATCTCGGGGCCATCTTGGAACCTCTTGGGGTTTCCTGGGTGCTTCTTGGGGCCACCTTGGAGGATATCGATCAAACAAGGGGGGAACTTCAATTAGCGTCCCCCCCAAGAGGCCAACATGTGGCCAAAACCATGGTAAAACCAATGATTTTGGCTTCCTCGCGAGGCAGTTTTGGACGCTCCGGCGACTCGCGGAACCCCTTGTCCAGGTCCAGGGGAGGGGGTAGGGGGAGGGGTCAAGACGCCCTCCCCGCCCGCAAGCCGTCCCGCTCACTCCCTCCCGCCCTCCCAACACATAAGTCGCACCCGAGCTTGACCCGAACCGCAGCATATGCAGCAGTCGTCTTTGGATGGGCAGCTACTGGGGGCGAATCCGCCTCCTCCGCCGCCGCCGCCGCCGCCCGCCGCCGCCGCCGCCGCTGCCGCGCCACCGCCGCCGCCGCCGCCGCTGTCCGCCGCCGCCGCCACCGCGCCGCCCGCCGTCGCCGCCGTCGCCGCCGCCGCCGCCGCCGCCGCCGCGCCGCCCCCGCCGCCGCCGCCGCCGCCGCCGCCGCCCCCGCCGCCGCCACCGCCGCAGCCGCCGCAGCCGCTGCCCCCGCCGCGGCCGCCGCAGCAGCCGCCGCCGCCAAGTGTACTCTGTATGGGTTTTTGACAGGGATGGTGGGGGGAGGCCGCATCGGGTTCGCTGCGCATGCTCCGAATTTGGGGACAGAGTGTGTTTTGTATCGTTGTTTACAACGGATGGTGGGGGCAAAGTGTGTTTTGCATTGTTTTTTGCAGGGATGGTGTGGGGTGCCCTCATGGACTTGGGTTGGCTCCCAGTCGC